TTGTAGTTCTGACATACTTTTTGCACAGGGAGTACAGTACAGAAAGGCTTGTTGAACCACATTTTTACCAATGTAACACCTCCTCACCGCCTGTCCATTTCCCTCTGAAGAGCAATCAATCGCAGATCACTTTTCAGAGAGCCATCACAAGCATAATGAGCCCTAGGGCCCCTTACGCACTGCTCACATGCCACAATGCTTTGCCTTGTCATGGCAGTATGTCGACTGGACAGGTGAAACCACATGACAACCTCGGCCATTCAAGTCAGTTAGGCCAACCTGCAACCACCAGGCTCTTGTCTCGCAGTCACAACCCTTTAGCCCTATTGTAAGTTGCCATTAGGCAAAAAAGGCATTCAAGAGATTGTGGGATTAACTATTGAACACTTGACAGTGGCTGCTTATCCCCACACTGAAAAGCGATCCATCGCAGATCACCTTTCAGAGCATAGGCTAGTGTGATCTCATAAGAGGACAAATAAAATAATGTTTGCACTAGGGCACCATCTATAAATAAATAGAAGCAGCTGACACAATTCGCAGGCAACTAATTAATACAAATATAAGAGAAAAATGTCCTAGTGTCATCCTAGGACATGACGTGTGAATGCCAGGTCTACCAGGTTCAAACGAAGGAGAAAAGTCTGAAAAAGAAACCAAATACAGTTACCTTCATCTGATCCTTTTCTGTTTTTTCAGACCTAAACATGATGGATCGGCGGTAGCTTGATAAAAATGGACACAGGAGTCTGTTTACATCTGGCCGCCCATAGAGATATCATGGGTCTGCACATGCCCATTGGGCACAAAAATGTCATCCGTCAAAGAGCCCTAAAAAGCAAGAGTTTGGGTTATAAGTGAGTTCAGAGGATGCCCCAAGCTCATCTCTAGAGATGGTCCACAGAGTTCTCCCCGCTTAACGCTGCCAGAGAGCTCTGTGATTGGAACAGAAGCCGGTCACATGACTTTTACAGATCACACAGCCAAGCTCTCCTCCACCCAGAACTCACCTCATTGTCCATTGCAAGCAATTAGTGAATCTGTGCGTTATCAATCTGCTTCCCCAGCCCTTGCCGCTACGTCCCAGCAGCTGCTTAAAGTAGAACTCCAGCTTAAACCTAATTAGTCTTAAAAATGTCCCCCCCCACCTCCCCCAACACCGATGCCATGGGTGCTCAATCTGTGACTCCAGAACTACAAATCCCATGAAGCATTGCAAGGCTGACAGTTACATGCATGACTCCCAAAGGCCAGAGGCATGATGGGACTTGTAGTTTCACAACAGCCGGAGGGCCACAGGTTGGGGACCCATGACCTATGCTGATTAACCTGTGTATAAAAAAAAGATCTGCATACCTCCGGTCCGATCATTTGATCCCGTGTCACTGACGGGGCCTGCATGAGAAAGGAGAATGCGCTCTGACAACGCCTTGGAAATCAGGGAGTGGTGATCTCGGCCATGGGCTCTTAGGGCCCAATGGTTGTCAGTGCTCCCTCCTCTTCCCTACAACCACTGCTGGCTGGCACAGGGGAGCCGGCTCACGTGACCAGACCAGAGCGGACTAAAAATAGGAAAGTATATATATATTTTTTTTTTTTTTTTTTTTACACAGGTTAGTCAACATAGCTGTTAAGCTGGTCATAGGTGAATCCAATCTCAGTCGGTTCAGTATGGCTGGCTGAGCATCGATCCACATTTTGACAGGCTGATTGTACCCAAGTTGATCCATCAATCAACTTGGGTACAACCAGCTTGTCAGATTTTTAGCATGTGATTATTGCTATCAGCTATATGCCGCTAGCAATAATCACTGTGTTCTTCTAGCAGGGGCAAATCCTGCACCCCCCCTAGAGGGAGAACACTATAGCTTCACGGGAGGGATTCCCTTATCAACACGGATTCGGGGTTGCAGAAAAGAATATTGCATCATCTAGGGCCTGCCTTACGAGGGAACATTTTTAAGACTAGTTAAAGTGGAGTTCCAGTCACACTGTAAAAAAAATAAGCCAGCAGCTATATAAAGTGTAGCTGCTGACTTTTAAAAAACAGCCACTCGCCTGTCCTACAATGCGGCAGTGTGCTCCCCACAGCCCGTTTCACCAGCCGTCCGGTGTTCCTGGCGCAGACATCTTTAGTGTGGGCACCTGGCTGTGACAGCTTATGGCTTCACAGCCGGGTGCCCACTGCGCATGCGTGAGTGGCCGCTGTGCTTTCTGAATGGTCCTGTAGTCTTCTGGGACCTGTCGCGTGTCCCAGAAGACTATGGTGGGGGGGGGACAACTTCCACTACGATCACCTAGGCGATCGTAGTGGAATTGGGAGTGGGTACTTGTCAGTTTCAGTTAATAGGGAGGAGGGGAACAGTCTTTAACCACTTCCAGACCGGACACTTTTACCCCCTTCCTGACCAGGGCAATTTTCAGCTTTTAGCGCTATCACATTTTGAATGACAATTGCGTGGTCATGCAACACTGTACCCAAATGAATTTTTTACCATTTTTTTGAGACAGATAAAGCTTTATTTTGGTGGTATTTACTCACCACTGGGATTTGTATTTTTTTTGCTATGTAAATGAAATGTCCAAAAATTTGGAAAAAAGTATTTTTTTTTATAAAAATTTTGCAAATAAATAATATTTCATCATAAATCTTAGCCAAAATTTATTCCGTTATCTTTTTTAGTAAAAAAAATCCAAATTAGTTTATAAGCAAAAAATAAATAATTTTTAAACATTTTTTTTTACATTTTTATTTTTTTTTTTTTATATTATTATTTTTTATTTATTTATTTTTTTTTTTTCTGTCCCTAGCAGTACAGTGTCACCATGGTGTGACACTGTACTACTTGTGGGGGGTGATGAGATTTTTTTTTTTTTTTTTTTACACATTGCTTTTACACCCATATAGGATGTAAAAGCAATAATTTTCTCTTTCTCTCTGTGTGCATTCTTGCACTCATTGAGAAGTACTGAGTGAGCTGTGATTGGTCACAGCTTGTCACATGGTACAAGGCTTTTGTGAATAGCCTTGTACCATGTGACCTCTGTGATCATTCACAGATTTCACACGTATTAAGCAATGATGTCAGAAGTGACATCTTGCTTACTACTTTGCATGTGATCACTGATTGGCCAATCGGTGATCACATGATCGGGACTTCGTACAGAGGTCCCGTCCGACGATCAGTGTTTCACTGTGTCTGGAGGACACAGCGGGCACCGGATCACGGTGCTGCGCGCTCCCAGGGAGCGCGCACAAGTAGGGTGCGGGGAGCCGGTTATAGAAGGCCATCCGACCCTGCAGTGCCACCGTCCGGCCGTTTATATACAGCGGCCGGATGGGAGGTGGTTAAAGCAGAACTTTTTTTTCAGGTGGAGCTCTGCTTTAAGTGTAGCCTGGAATTCTAGTTTAAGTTGGTGTTAACACCAGGAGGTGGCTTCCAGATCACTTGGTGGTCACGTGATAAAGAACGCAAACCACTAACTCCCAATCTCAGTGACCAGAAGCTAGCGGTGACAGTTCAGTCAGTGTACTATGAGCACACAGGGTGTGTACTCTCAGCACAGAATCTTGGAGCCTCATGGGCATATAAGTGCAGCGGCTGGGCATTAAGGCCCACCTGCCCTGCATATATGCTTTACACTAGTGGGAGGAGGTAAAAGCAGCGATATGGCTGTACCACTACTTTATAAATTGGACCCAAAGTTTTTAAAACGTTTTAGGATATCTAAACTCTAACTGAGTCACATTAAATTCACTAAAGCACTGTATATAATAACATACTGCTCTTCTTTTTTTTTTTTTTTTAATTAAATAATTGTTTTCACCTTTTTATTTTCATCTTTTGTTGCAACACAGTGCTGCTGGTCTCCTTCAAGAACTTTACAGCCACTAATACAGGTTTTAACAATCCATAACTAAAAAAACAGAGTTGGCTTTAGATATACTTTAAAGCCCAACTCTGGGCAAAAAGTAGTTTCTCATGCAGTGGGGCTGTGCTCGCACTGCACAAGTTAACTGCTCACTACTTTCTAGGGGAGAGCGGAGATATACTTACATAATTCTCCGATCCTTCCAATACAAAACCAGCACGGCACCCCATGCTTCAGCTGTCTTGAATAGTGGACTGTTCCTGTCATCAAACCCAGAGAAGGCTTCATAGACCAGGAACAGTCCATCACTGAACCGTGGGGGAGCTCCGTTTTCTAGAGGTTTGAAGGATCAGGTGAGTGCAAGCTTTCTGCTCACCCCTAGAAAAATGGGCAGTTGATCCATGCAGTGCGGGCACAGCCTTACTGCATGGGAAATAATTATTTTTTTTTTTGCCTGGAGTTGGGCTTTAAAGTGGTATTAAAGACACTTTGTTAATTTTTACCTACAGGTAAGCTTATATTAAAGCTTATCTGTAGTTAAAATTAATATCTCCTAAACATGCACCGGTTAGGAGATATTCTGTTTTTTTTTTTTAGAGCTGGTGCTCTGAAGGAACGGCATACCCGTTGCTGTGTCCTGAGACTTCTGTGCGCATGTGTGGGAGCGGTATTATTGTGACTCAGCCAATCAGATGGCCGGAGCTCACAAACCCGGAAGGAAGACCGGGTGAAGATGGAAGCGTCTACAGCAGTCACAGCGTGCTGCTGGAGGGCTTAATTTTAAAGTAAGTTTTACATAATGTGCTAGTATGTGATGCATACTAGCACATTATGCCTTAACCTTGCAGGGGATTTTTGTTTTTCTTGAATGCGGTTTACTATCGCTTTTATGAAGAAAACCTCTTTCATTTGTTGTGCATGACAGATTGTCATTGAAACACACACCCACTGTACTGGATGGACTGGTGTCTTTATTGAACCTATCCCACTATGTAAAATACTGTGCTTTTCTAATGTGTCTGGGCAGCATCTTTGCTGTAATGTAGAAATATTGGTCTGTGTAGATTACTGTCATGTAGAACTGCATTATTTATTAACTTGTTTTTTTTTATAGATCCTCACTCATAATGTTAAGCCAGGAAGAAGCGGAGGCTCAGATCTCAGAACTGGACCTTCTCTCCAGCATGTTCCCCAGTGAAGAGGAGTTTGCGGTCACCGATCAGTTGGCATTGGCGGAGCTGAGAGAATTTGCAGAAAAGCAGACAGCAGTCACTCCAACCTTTACAATTCAGTTCACATTGACTGTGAAACTCGGTGATAGCAATGCAGACAACATCCAGGTAATGTGGGTTCTGTTATCCAGGTCTAAACTGAGAACTGTGTGTGTGTCACAGTGACAGAACATAGACCATGGAATTCATTAAAGAGTATGTAAACCGAACATTTTATATTCCTGATATGTGCATGCTGTACCATGTACTTGTATAAAAAAGTATCCTCTTCTTCTGTGTTTTCCTTTGTGTGAAATCCTGATGTTCCTGATGTTCTGCTTTCCTATAAAAAACTGACAGTGCCCTCTGCTTTCCTATCAAAAACTGACTACACTAGGCATGAGTGCACAGCTTGGTCAATTCTCTAACTGTGCTAGGAAGTTAGCCTGCGCTCCTCCAATGCTAATGATAAGATTTGCTGCCGGCCCCCCTCTACCCCCCCCCCTCCCCATTCTCTGGGAAGAATACCAGTGTACAGCTCTTTCTCCTCCCCCAAGTGGTTGGCATTTGGTTGTGGCCCACTCCTATTGACTTCAGTGGACGCTTTTGGCTAGCGGTCCACCTGCCAAGCATGACATGCCCAGGTAATCTTGCGGCACTGGCAAGCATCACGGCCAGGGTAATGTGTACAGACCTGAGCGGTTGTCATGGCATTTTGTAGGTGGGGCAGAAAAAATGCAGATCAACAGCTTCCTTTACTGCTCCTTTGCCACTCGTCATATGCACTTTGATCAATGATGAATTTCTTTTCTGAATAGCACATCAATTGGCTAATAAAACTGAAGCATGTATAGTCACCAAACACGTTACAATCTAACTTTACAATCAGCCTTAGATCTACCAAAACCATGTAATATGCAGAGCTACCTAATCTATCCAATCAGTTTGTATCCACAACATATTTGTTGGTAGATCTAATGAAGATTGTACAATCAGATTGTTACGTGTGGTTAGTGTAAAGTGGTTCTTCACCTTAGAAACAAAAAATTAAAAGTCATTAGTTAAAATTATTGTCCAGGGATCCAACACCGTCCTCCATCTGGCTGGTTCTTTGCCAGTCTTGGGGTCCTTGGTACCGGCATGTTTAGTGTGGGAAGCTGGATGGGACTCCTTGCAGCTTCGCAGCCAAGCTGTGCTGTTCTTTGTGAATGGTCAGAGAGAGGGAAAGGGCCAAACTTCAGCTCAGATTGCCTTGATCGACCTGGCCAGAAGTGGGAGCAGGTACCTGTAAAAAAAAACAGGTACCCGCTCCCTCCCAAAGAAAAAAAAAAAAGTGAAATGTGCTGAAAGTTACAGGTTGGGGGTATTAGGGGGCAGACAAGCGGAACTTCTCCTTTTGTGTAAAGTTCCACTTTAATTTTGTTGCAGAATCGCTCCAAAGATGCAACATAATAATTACACGTGTGACGCAGTCAGCTATTTACTTTACCTCCAATTTCCTTATCACTGATATGGTGGTGTGTTTTTTTTTTTTTTTTTTTTCTTTTTTTAAAGTGGTTGTACAGGCTGAAGGTTTTTTTTCACCTTCATGCATTCTATGCTACTCTCACAGCCCCCCCCTAATACTCACTTGAGCCCCTGTTCAATCCAGCGATGTGCATGGGAGCCTCGGCTGTCCTGGATCTCCCTCTCCTCATTGGCATGGAGCTGGGAGTGAACATGCACCAGTGCCCCTATAGCAAGTGGCTTGGTATTGGGGGCAATGGTCAAAAGGGAGGAGCCAAGAAGAAGAGCATCAGGGCTGCTCTGTGAAAAACCACTGCACAGAGCAGGTAAGTATGTCATGTTTGTTTACTTTTTAAAAAAAGCAGAACCTATAATACTACTTTAATACAATCACAATAGCTCCATATAGTAAAAGCGTTGTACATAAAAACAGCTTTAATTTTTCATGCATCGGTACTACCAATGAAAACGTTGCAGGGTTTTCATGAATTTGGTGCAAGGCTTCTGGCATTGTACACACCGCCACAACTGTATCCCAAATATCTTTATTTTAAGCCAACCAGCAACAGAGCTCTGGACCCCTAGTCACTGCACTCTTCAACTCCATCTGTTCATTGGATCATGGCACTCCAGCACTCCTCTTCACAGGCTCATGGTGGAGAACCAGCAGAATTTCTGGCAGCCTACAGGCCCTTCTTCCTCCTGCATACCTTGCCTCCGTCCCCTCTTTCCCAGTGGGTTAAAAGTACCTTTTTGTTATCCTCTGTGCTACTGTGTTGTACTGCTATTAATAATGTTTGTATTTTTTATGTGTTTTATATACACCAATCCTTTTTTTTTTTTTTTTTTTTTTTTTTTTTTTTTTTTTTTTGCAGGATGTACTTTCTTTACATTGTTCATACCCACCTCACTACCCAAATGTCCCACCAGAAATCGTAGTCAGGTACTGTGACCGTACATTGCATTCTGTGTCATCTACAAGTATGTAATTGAAATATAATGTAAATGATTACTCTCCCTCTGCCTTCCTCTACCACACTGTGTCATATGCTATTGCTTTCTTTTTTTTTTTGTTCTTTCATCTATGTTGCTTTCCATCACCCCATTCACTCTCTTTTCCCCCCTGCCTTCCACATTCCCCTTTCTTCCCACCTGCATTACTCTTCCCTCTCCCCTTCTACTCCCTCCTCCCCTTTCTTTCTCTGTCCTCTGTCTATATCCCATTTCCATTCTTGGATGGCTACAGCAGCTAGTTATTTGCCACAAGCTCCATTCTGCAAAGATATACAGGCTACAGCCTTTTATTCACTTTGTTAAAGGATACGTTCACCTTTAGGAACATATTACATGTTCCACCCATTTTTAGGGTGGAACATGTAACATGTCCCCGATCCTACAGCTGCCGCCAGCTGCCCCCCTTCTTCCCTGTGACAGCAGTATGGGGAGAAGTTCCCTTACCCGCTGTCACTTTTCAGAAACAGCGCGGCCATGAGAGGCTCCGCCCACACGGCCGTGTTGTTCATTCACAGTCCTCCTGTGAATGAATGGATTACAAGTCCCGACAGCATTCAGTCTTTCTGTCAGCAAGTATCGGCTTGTCCCATAAGGGATATATGAACAAGCATATACACTAACTGTGTGCAGGAGATCTGCATGGCATCAGCAATCTACTGATCACTGGTGCAAAGTTTTACAGGCTCCTAACACAAAAAATAATAAATGCACATTTTTTTTTACCTGCAAAAAAAGTGCATTTATTATTTTTTTGTAGAAAGGTGAACTTGTCCTTCAATTTGCCCCAGTGTTTAGTGGTTCATTTGCACTATTTATAAGCATCCAGCACAGAAACAATTGCATATTCATATGTACTGACTGCCTCATCCATCACAAAAGTAGAAGGCAAGTCAAAAACCTAAGTAAGCCTAAATCTACTCCAACCCCCATTCTAAGCCTATTCTATCTATCTTGGGAAAGGAAGATGTGTATACTTGCATATTCTGAAGTTGCTTTGGTATGGTCACATCTCTCCAGCGGTGGCTTCAGTGTAGAGGAGAGATTGCCGACAACGGCTGCAGAGCCTGGGCAGTGACATCACCCATAGACTTACCATGGGGCATCCATTGTCGCCTGTCCCTCCTCTACATGGAAGCAGCTAGTGACAGCTGATCATGTGACCGGACTGGAGTGACTTCAGAACAGGTACATATATGGATCTTTCTTTTTACAGGGTAGTTAGAATAGGCCAGTGATGGCGAACCCGTGGCACGCGTGCCACAGCCGGCTGGCACGCCGAGCCTTATCTGTGGGCACGCCAGGAGAATACCGTATTTTTCGCTCCATAAGACGCACTTTTTTTCCCCCAAAAAAGGGGGGAAAATGTCAGTGCGTCTTATGGAGCGAATATAGAGCGGCCGGTCCGGTATTTCCACCGCCGCCGTGTCAGAATACCGGGCCGGCCGCTCAGCTCTGCAGTGGGACCGTACCTGTTCCTCTATCCAGCGGCGCGCTGTCTTCCCGGCTTCTGTAGTGTGCGTGACAGCCGGGTCCCAAGTGCGCATGCGCAAGAAGCAGTGCTCTTTGTGAATGGTAAGGCGGTACCTGGGACACATGGCAGATCCCAGAAGCCGCCGGACCAATCACAAAGCGCAGCGCCTCTCGCGCATGCGCACCGGGCATCCAGCTGTCCGACGAGCGCCCACACTACAGAACCCGGGAAGACAGCGCGCGGCTGGACAAAGGAACAGGTAAGATAAAAAAAAAAACTCTGCGGAAGTAAGAGCGGGTACCTGTCAAATTCAGGTACCCGCTCCCCCTCCCTCCCCAAAGGTCAGCAGTCATCTCCTGAACTGTCCGCAGTCTCTGGTCATCCCCTGTGCTGTCCGCAGTCTCTGGTCATCCCCTGTGCTGTCCGCAGTCTCTGGTCATCCCCTGTGCTGTCCGCAGTCTCTGGTCATCCCCTGTGCTGTCCGCAGTCTCTGGTCATCCCCTGCGCTGTCCCGCAGTCTCTGGTCATCCCCTGCGCTGTCCCGGCAGTCCTCTGGCATCCCCTGCGCTGGTCCCGGCAGTCTCTGGTCATCCCCTGCGCTGTCCCGGCAGTCTCTGGTCATCCCCTGCGCTGTCCCGGCAGTCTCTGGTCATCCCCTGCGCTGTCCCGGCAGTCTCTGGTCATCCCCTGCGCTGTCCCGGCAGTCTCTGGTCATCCCCCCTGCGCGCAGTGTCCCGGCAGTCTCTGGTCATCCCCTGCGCTGTCCCGGCAGTCTCTGGTCATCCCCTGCGCTGTCCCGGCAGTCTCTGGTCATCCCCTGCGCTGTCCCGGCAGTCTCTGGTCATCCCCTGCCTGCGCTGTCCCGGCAGTCTCTGGCCATCCCCTCTGCAGCCATCCCCTGCGCTGTCCCTGGCAGTCTCTGGCCATCCCCTGCGCTGTCCCGGCAGTCTCTGGCCATCCCCTGCGCTGTCCCGGCAGTCTCTGGCCATCCCCTGCGCTGTCCCGGCAGTCTCTGGCCATCCCCTGCGCTGTCCCGGCAGTCTCTGGCCATCCCCTGCGCTGTCCCGGCAGTCTCTGGCCATCCCCTGCGCTGTCCCGGCAGTCTCTGGCCATCCCCTGCGCTGTCCCGGCAGTCTCTGGCCATCCCCTGCGCTGTCCCGGCAGTCTCTGGCCATCCCCTGCGCTGTCCCGGCAGTCTCTGGCCATCCCCTGCGCTGTCCCGGCAGTCTCTGGCCATCCCCTGCGCTGTCCCGGCAGTCTCTGGCCATCCCCTGCGCTGTCCCGGCAGTCTCTGGCCATCCCCTGCGCTGTCCCGGCAGTCTCTGGCCATCCCCTGCGCTGTCCCGGCAGTCTCTGGCCATCCCCTGCGCTGTCCCGGCAGTCTCTGGCCATCCCCTGCGCTGTCCCGGCAGTCTCTGGCCATCCCCTGCGCTGTCCCGGCAGTCTCTGGCCATCCCCTGCGCTGTCCCGGCAGTCTCTGGCCATCCCCTGCGCTGTCCCGGCAGTCTCTGGCCATCCCCTGCGCTGTCCCGGCAGTCTCTGGCCATCCCCTGCGCTGTCCCGGCAGTCTCTGGCCATCCCCTGCGCCCGCAGTCTCTGCCCTGCGCTGTCCCGGCAGTCTCTGGCCATCCCCTGCGCTGTCCCGGCAGTCTCTGGCCATCCCCTGCGCTGTCCCGGCAGTCTCTGGCCATCCCCTGCGCTGTCCCGGCAGTCTCTGGCCATCCCCTGCGCTGTCCCGGCAGTCTCTGGCCATCCCCTGCGCTGTCCCGGCAGTCTCTGGCCATCCCCCCTGCGCTGTCCCGGCAGTCTCTGGCCATCCCCTGCGCTGTCCCGGCAGTCTCTGGCCATCCCCTGCGCTGTCCCGGCAGTCTCTGGCCATCCCCTGCGCTGTCCCGGCAGTCTCTGGCCATCCCCTGCGCTGTCCCGGCAGTCTCTGGCCATCCCCTGCGCTGTCCCGGCAGTCTCTGGCCATCCCCTGCGCTGTCCCGGCAGTCTCTGGCCATCCCCTGCGCTGTCCCGGCAGTCTCTGGCCATCCCCTGCGCTGTCCCGGCAGTCTCTGGCCATCCCCTGCGCTGTCCCGGCAGTCTCTGGCCATCCCCTGCGCTGTCCCGGCAGTCTCTGGCCATCCCCTGCGCTGTCCCGGCAGTCTCTGGCCATCCCCTGCGCTGTCCCGGCAGTCTCTGGCCATCCCCTGCGCTGTCCCGGCAGTCTCTGGCCATCCCCTGCGCTGTCCCGGCAGTCTCTGGCCATCCCCCCCTGCGCTGTCCCAGGCAGTCCCCTCTGCAGTCTCCATCCCCTGCGCTGTCCCCGGCAGTCTCTGGCCATCCCCTGCGCTGTCCCCGGCAGTCTCTGGCCATCCCCTGCGCTGTCCCGGCAGTCTCTGGCCATCCCCTGCGCTGTCCCCGCAGTCTCTGGCCATCCCCTGCGCTGTCCCCGCAGTCTCTGGTCATCCCCTGCGCTGTCCCCGCAGTCTCTGGTCATCCCCTGTACTGTTAATTAGTTTGCACTACTGTACGAGTTGTTTTTTCTAAACCAAAAGCTCGATATTCAGGTTTCATTGCAGTGTTGGCACTTTGAAAGAAATAAGTTGGTTTTGGGTTGCAGTTTGGGCACTCGGGCTCAAAAAGGTTCGCCATCACTGGAATAGGCTTAGAATCGGGGTGGGAGTAGCTTTAAGTTTAGTTAGGTTTTGACTTGCCTTCTACTTTAACCGCCTCCCGCCCACCATATAAGAAAATGACAGGCGCAAGGCGGTTCTCTCGTTCTGGGAGGACATCATGTAATGTCTTCCCACTCTAACCACGCGTGCGCGCCCCCAGTGGTGCGCTGTGTTCCTGGGACACAGCAGATCACCGATCCATGGAAAGAGCCGAAGACGTCGGCTCTGTCGTGATCAGCTGTGTCCAATCACAGCTGATCGCATGTAAATAAGGAAATGCCGGTTATCAGCGTTTTTTTCTCTTCACGAGATGTCGCGCTGACCGCTTGTGAGGAAAGGAGAGCCGGTAATTGGCATTCCTCAGAGGGGACATGTACACTGATCATCAGGGCACTGATGATCAGTGTAGCCCCAGCAGTGTCGCATATCAGTGCACATCAATGCCGCATATCAGTGCCCATCTGAGCTGCCAGTCAGTGCCGCCTATCAGTGCCATATATGAGTGCTGCCTTTCATTGCCCATCAGTGATGCCTGTCAATGCTCATCAGTGCCACCTACCAGTGCCGCCTATTAGTGCCTTGCTGTTGTGATGGTTGGGATTTGCTTCTTCATATCAGGGCTGCTACCTGATGGCTGGTGATCTGATGATTGGTAGGATAATGATCAAGAAACAGCAGGAGATATAGAGGAAGCACAGATCCACAGAATTGATGAAGTAGAAGAAGCAGGTGGATCCTTATGCTGCAGGCCCTCAGATACAGCTTCTTTTCCAGCAAGGAGAACTTTTTTCAGAGTACTGCTTAGGCACAATTAACATTTCTAGGGGGTCACTATAAATAAGTAAATCTTCACTTTAACATACTTCTACTCTACATAATCCTATTTTTGTTTATTTATAGATCGCCATCCCTGGTGCGGTCACAGCAGACTCAGCTTCATTCAGATCTGAACACTTATCTTAAAACCAATTGCAATGGAGATGTGTGTATTTTAAGTGCTGTGGAATGGGTTAAAGACAATGCTTCTACCTACCTGAATATCGTGTTCCCCACTGATCATCAGAAAGGAATGGCAATGACTCCTGAAGATAGCGTTTTCACTAGGTTATGGATCTACAGTCATCACATATACAACAAACAGAAGAGAAAATATATCATGGAATGGTCAGAGGAGTTGGGGCTCTCAGGGTTTAGTATGCCAGGGAAACCCGGCATTGTGTGCGTGGAGGGAGCACAGGAGTCTTGTGAAGAGTTTTGGTCCAGGTATGTATTTGGAAGTACTTGTGTCACAATAGAGACTTACATCAAGCAATAGGATTCCATTTTATATAATTGATTCCGCAAAGCACAGCTATCAGCAAATCCATACATATCAAAATCAGTATCCCCTTCTATTTACATAATTTACCCTTCCTACTCTTGTCCACTTGCCTGATCCACACAGCTTTTGGATTGAAAAACCCACCATGTATGGAGCACATATGAACTTAGAACTTATGCAGGCCATAGATGGGGAGAAAAACTGCAGATTTTTCTTTTAAAAAACGAAAAAATCGGTTGTTCAAGTGGCCGACGTTACCATCAATGGTAAAAAAAATCGGCCGATTTTCTACCCGTCTAGAGCCTGCAAAAAGTGTCCCTGCAGAGAGCTCTGCTATTTCTTTGACAGTTCTCTGACAGTTCCTTGACATTTATAGAAGTTGCAACAATGTATCTATTTGTTTCTATTTAGGATACAGATGTTTTTATTCGGAAACAAATAGATACAATGTTTCAACCGCTGTAAATGTGAAGGAACTGTCAGAGAACTGTCAGAAATAGCGGAGCTCTCTGCAGAGACACTTTTTGCTGGACTGGAATTCTTCTTATTTTCATCCTACTTCTTCTTCTTCATCATCCTCTCCTCTTCTTCATCCTCATCCTCTTCTTCATCCTCATCCTCTTCTTCTTCATCATCCTCATCCTCTTCTTCTTCATCATCCTCATCCTCTTCTCATCATCATCCTCATCCTCTTCTTCTTCATCATCCTCATCCTCTTCTTCTTCTGCATCCTCATCCTCTTCTTCTTCTGCATCCTCTTCTTCTTCTTCTTCTTCTTCTTCCTCATCCTCATCCTCATCCTCTTCTTCTTCTTCTTCTTCTTCTTCTTCTTCTTCTTCCTCCTCTTCTTCTTCTTCTTCACCCTCATCCTCTTCTTCTTCATCCTCTTCTTCATCCTCATCCTCTTCTTCTTCTTCTTCTTCTTCTTCCTCATCCTCTTCTTCTTCTTCTTCCTCTCATCTTCTTCTTCTTCTTCTTCTTCCTCATCCTCTTCTTCTTCTTCTTCCTCATCCTTCTTCTTCTTCTTCTTCTTCCTCATCCTCTTCTTCTTCTTCTTCTTCCTCATCCTCTTCTTCTTCTTCTTCCTCATCCTCATCCTCTTCTTCTTCTTCTTCTTCCTCTTCCTCATCCTCTTCTTCTCATCCTCTTCTTCTTCTTCTTCTTCTTCCTCATCCTCTTCTTCTTCTCTTCTTCCTCATCCTCATCCTCTTCTTCTTCTTCTTCTTCTTCCTCATCCTCTTCTTCTTCTTCTTCCTCATCCTCATCCTCTTCTTCTTCTTCTTCTTCCTCATCCTCATCTCTTCTTCTTCTTCTTCTTCTTCTTCTTCCTCTTCTTCTTCTCTTCTTCCTCTTCTTCTTCTTCTTCTTCTTCTCATCCTCATCCTCCTCTTCTTCTTCTTCTTCATCCTCATCCTCCTCTTCTTCTTCTTCTTCATCCTCATCCTCTTCTTCTTCATCATCCTCATCCTCTTCTTCTTCATCATCCTCATCCTCTTCTTCTTCATCATCCTCATCCTCTTCTTCTTCTTCATCCTCATCCTCTTCTTCTTCTTCATCCTCTTCCTCTTCTTCATCCTCTTCTTCATCCTCTCTTCTTCTTCTTCTTCATCCTCTTCTTCTTCTTCTTCATCCTCTTCTTCTTCTTCTTCATCCTCTTCTTCTTCTTCTTCATCCTCTTCCTCTCTCTTCTTCATCCTCTTCTTCTTTTTCTTCTTTTTGTCTTCCTCTTGCAGGTCACTGCTCATGCGCAGATTTTTTTTATCGGTAAAAAATCGGCCGATTTGCCCACTAATTGCCGCGAAAATCGGCCGATCGCCAAAATCGGCCGATTTTTTTCCAACTTTACCGAAAAAAAAAAAAACGGCCAAAATACCGAAAAACGGCCGACTAAATCGCCCACTAACGATCCGAAAATCGGCCGATTTTATTTTCGGCCGAAAAATCGGCCGATTTTCGACCCATCTATTGCCTGCATTAGTCCTAAACCTCCCATAATAAAGTGCTTAGTGTATGAGCATCTTGAAAGTGTCACATGGCTGGGGAAAGGGGGTGCCTGCCTAGCAGCTTCATAACCACCTCAATACTGCCACGTGTGTGTAAAAAAAAAAAAAAAAAAAAAAAAAAAAAACTGTGTGCGTGTGGTTTTACCAGCTCATGGCTGCAGATACAGCACTGATCCTGGTACCATTCTCTTCAGCTGGCAATTCTCTTTTATGCAAAAGTGCTCTCGCTGCTCACAATCAGCCAGTGAGGGGAGTGCGAGGCCGAGCTGTGGCTACGGATACAGAGCCGGTTCAGGAGTGAACCTGCGCGAGTGCCCTCATAGCAAGTGGCTGGCTCTGGGGGCACTTGGCGGAGGAAGGAGCCAGGGTACCCAAGAAGAGGAGGATCAGGGCTGCTCTGTGCAAAACCATTGCACAGAGCAGATAATTATAACGTGTTTTTATAGGATATAAAAAGTTTATATTTTAAAAATAGCAATCACTTTAATGTAGTGTGTGTGCGTGCGTGCGCATCACAGCAGTAGCTCCTCTTTGAGACTGTCTGTCTTTAATTGAAATTTCAAATAGATCCATGCAGGGCAGATTAGCCAATCATCAGCATTCAGCTGTGGATGTGATATGTGCTTCAGGTATTTGGCTCTGCGAACAACAGTCTGACCTTCGCTTGGTGAACGTGAAAAAAGCCTGTAGCTTTTCCTATCAACTGGACTTGGTAAATAGGGTGTGTATGTATATCTATGTGTGTGTATATAACTATATAAAAATTTTTTTTATATATATTACACACCCATTGGGTAACATAAGTATTGAAAACTTCACCATTTTTCTAAAGGTGCTATTGACATGACTTTTTCACCACATGTCTGTAAAAACCCATGGAATCCATACATACATAGCAACCAAAACAAATAAGTTCAGAAATTAAGTTCTGTGTAATAAAATGGAATGACATAGGGAAAAAGTATTGAACACATGAAGAAAGGGAGGAGCAAAAAAAGACATGGAAAGTCAAGACACCAGCTGAAATCTATCAGTAATTAGAAAGCAATCCTGCTCCTTGTCAATGCAAATTAATATCAGCTGATTACATCTCAACTGATATCTAGAAAAAGGTGTCTCATTACCAAGGTGTCACACAAGAAACCTCTCATGATGGGTAAAAGCAAAGAGCTCTCTCAAGACCTTTGCAACCTTATTGTTGAAAAATATACTTATATATGTAAAGTGCTGCGTAAATTGACGGCGCTATTTAAGTACCTATAATAAATATCCTGATGGCATTGCTTACAGAAGAATTTCTACACTTCTGACTGTTCCAGTGAGCTCTGTTGGGGCCATAATCTAGAAGTGGAAAGAACATCATTTCACCATAAATCGGCCACGACCAAGTGCTCCTCGCAAGATTTCTAATAGAGGAGTGAAAAGAATTATCAGAAGAGTCAAGATCCAAGGACCACTTGTGGAGAGCTTCAGAAAGACTTGGAATTAGCAGGCACAATTGTTTCAAAGAAAACAATAAGTAATGCACTGAACCGCCATGGCCTGTAAGCACGCTCACCACGCAAGACTCCATTGCTGAAGAAAAAGCATGTTGAAGCTCGTTTATAATTTGCTGCACAACATTTAGACAAGCCTGTGGAATACTGGGAGAATATAATCTGGTCAGATGCGACCAAAACTGAACTCGTTGGATGCCCTAATACACGCTATATTTGGAGGTCAAATGGCACTGTACATCACCCCAAAAACACCATTCCAACAGTGAAGCATGGTGGTGGGAACATCATGGTGTTGGGCTGTTTTTCAGCATACGGTACTGGCAAACTTCATGTCATTGAAAGAAGGATGAATGGAAAAATGTACCAAGACATTCTACATGCAAATCTGCTGCCATCTACCAGGATGATGAAGATGAAATGAGGGTGAACATTTCAGCAAGATTATGATCCAAAACATAAAGCCAAGGAAACTCTCAACTGTTTTCAAAGAACGAATCTTAAAGCTACTAGAATGGCCCAGCCAATCACCTAACTTGAATCCAATAGAAAATCTATGGAATGAACTAAAGATCAGAGTTCACAGAAGAGGCCCATGGAACCTTCAAGATTTGAAGACTGTGTGGAAGAATGGGCCAAAATCACACCTGAGCAAGGCATGTGACTTGTTTTTCCATACAGGAGGTATCTTGAAGCTGTCATTACCAACAAAGGATTTTGTACAAAGTATTATATACATTTCAGTTGGCGTGTTCAATACTTTTTTCCCTGTGTCCTTCCATTTTATTACACATAACTTAATTTCTGAACTTATTCGTTTTGGTTTCTTTGTATGTATTGTGACAGTGTGACGATCTGTCACCCAGGATTCTCAACTAGGCAGGTTGAGGGGCTCCAGGGTAAGTGTTTGATATGGAGGAAAGTGGCATTTCACTTTCCTCCTTTGTTTGTAAGGTCTGTTTTGGGATCTGGAGCCTGGAGATTTCAAAGAGATCTGGGAGGGATGAAATCTCCAATCCTGGGACCAGGTTTTGGAAATGGCCAGGAGACTGATTGCACAGGTGTGTGCAGGCCTTTTCAGAGAGTCAGGATCAGAGTTCTGGGCTGGCAGACAGGAGTCACCACTCGGCAGACAGGAGTCAGGAGGGCTCCACCTAGGAGAGGTGGAAAAAAAGCAGCAAGAGGCTGCTAGAGACTAGCTGTGTGCTAGAGGCCAGCGGTGTGCAAGAGCCATAATTCTTCATAATTCATAAGAAGAAGTCTGCAGGAGACAGACATCAAGCTGAGTATAAGTCAGGAGGCTGAATCGTTGTTTTGTGTGATGGTGGATACCCCTGCGTGGGAACCTCTTATGTTATTGAACTGTCATTTAAATAAAAGTGGGCTAAAAAAGGCCTTAAAAAAAGCGAGTAGCTGTGTGCGTTTAAAAGCTCTACCACTTTGAAGCGAGTTCCCACAGTATGTATTGCATGGGTTTTTACCAACATGTTGTGAAAATGTAATGTCACTAGCACCTTTAGAAATATATTTACCTAGAAAAATGGTGACGCGTTCAATACTTATTTTACCCGCTGTATATACACTATATTGGGAAAAGTATTGGGATGCCTGCCTTTACATGCACATGAGCTTTAATGGCATCCCACTCTTAGTCCATAGGGTTCAATATTGAGGTGGCCCACCCTTTGCAGCTATAACAGCTTCAACTCTTCTGGGAAGGCTGTCCACAAGGTTTAGGAGTGTGTCTATGGGAAGGTTTGACCATTCTTCCAGAAGAGAATTTGTGAGGTCAGGCATTGATGTCAGATGAGAAGGTCTGGCTCGCAGTGTCCACTCCCAAAGGTGTTCTGTTGGGGTGAGGTCAGGACTCCGTGCAGGCCAGTCAAGTTCCTCATCCCCAAACTCGCTCATCCATGTCTTAATAGACCTTGCTTTGTGCACTGGTGCGCAGTCATGTTGGAACAGGAAGGGGCCATCCCCAAACTCTTCCCTAAAAGTTGGGAGCATGAAATTGTCCAAAATGTCTTGCTATGTTGACGCCTTAAGAGTTCCCTTCACTGGAAGTAAGGGGCCAAGCCCAGCCCCTCAAAAACAACCCCACACCATAATCCCCCTTCCACCAAACTTTACAGTTGGCACAAAGCAGTCAGGCATGTACCGTTCTGGCAACCGCCAAACCTAGACGTGGCCATCGGATTGCCAGATAGAGAAGTGTGATTCATCACTCCAAATAACACATCTCCACTGCTCTGGAGCCCAGTGGCAGCGTTCTTTACACCACAGCATCCGACACTTTGCATTGCTCTTGATGATGTAAGACTTGGATACAGCTGCTCAGCCATAAAAACCCATTCATGAAGCTCTCTACGCACTGTTGTGCTAATCTGAAGGCCACACGAAGGTTGGAGGTCTTTAGCTATTAACTTTGCAGACAGTTGGTGACTTCTTGCGCACTTCAGCATACGCTGACCCCGGTCTGTCATTTTATGTAGCCTACTAGTTCGTGGCTGTTGTTCTCAGTTGCTTCCACTTTGTTATATTACGACTAACGAGGGAGAGAGGGGAGATAGAGAGAAAGAACAAAACACCCACATTGCACAAATGTGAACTGGTCCTTTAGGCTCAGTATTGCTGTAAATTATCTTTTTTGTTCCCACAGAATAAGAAAACTGACATGGAAGCGGATATTAATCCGACACAGAGAAGATGTTCCTTTGTCTTGTCCCCCCTCAGATGTGTACATAAACATTCAGAAGCTCCGGAAATTCCCTCCTCTTAAGGAAATGGCATTTGATGCGCATGGAGCCCGAGGGAATCACATGGATCTGGGTCAGCTCTATCATTTTCTCCAGGAAAGGGGGTGCTCGGATGTCTTCCCCATGTACTTTGGGATTGAGGGACGATAAGAAACAACTAGAGTCATAAATAGACTTCTGGACGTGAAGAATACTTCTACACTAAACGCTGGACAATTTCTTATCGCAATAAATTTGTTCATGATTTTAAAATGTTTTTATTGTTAATAATTTACATTTTACTTTTGCTGCACAGTATCACATGATACATAAAGCCAAGGGAACTCTGATGTGCAATCTGGAAAAGTCGAGGTCTGCCCCATGCCTTGTGCTGTTTGGAGCTCCCTGTCTGCTGTTTACCCTGGAGGACAGACTCAATGGGGGTTATTTACTGAAACTGCATGGTGCAAAATCTGATGCAGTTCTGCGTAGAAACCAGTTGGCTTCCAACGCTTAATTGAACAAGCTGAAGTCAGAAGCTGATTGGCTACCATGCACAGGTGCTCCAGATTCTGAGTACTCCAGTTTCAGTAAATCCCGTGCTACCAAAGTTTGTTGCTATTTGGTGGGCACATATAATTTTAATGAAAGCCATGTTCCATGTTTGGTGTCTATTTTGTAAAAAAAAAAGATTAATTTTGTGCATTTTTTTACTGAAATTTTGCATTTCCTAAACTGTTGTGCTAATATGTGACATAAAACCATTCCAAAAATCACCATTTTATTCTCCAGGGCCCTCTGCTTTTAGAAAATATATAATGTTTGTGGGTTCTAAGTAATTTTCTGGCAAAAAAAAAAAAAAATATACGTCTGCAAAAATTAAAAAAAAAATGCCCTGCTAGACAAGTGGTTATAGGGAATTCCTCTCACTTCCTGTTTTGCTATGGGATAGGAAGTAAAGGTGAATCTCTTCAATGGGAAACATGGCAAAAAAAAACTGACGGGTTATAACCCTCCCTTACTCTATCCCAGGGAGGGTTATGGGAGGGCAGTTATAGACATTTTCCCAAAACCCCACCCCTGGGGCATGCATTGGGCACACTGATCACAGATTGAGGTACAGGGCTAAGCACAGCGGTCCTTTAACATGTGATCAGCTGTGTACAATCACATCTGGTCATATGTAAACAAACTTGCCTGTTATCTCCATTTCCATCCATGTGAGGAAAGGAGAGCCGATAATCAGGGCACTGATCATCAGTGCAGCCTCAGTGCCCATCAGTGTAGCTTATCAGTGCAGCCTCCTCAGTGCTTCCTCATTAGTGCCCATCAGTGCAGCCTCTTCAGTGCTTCCTCATCATTGCCAATTAGTGCAACCTCTTCAGTGCTTCCTCATTAGTGCCCATCAGTGTAGCATATCACTTCCCTCTTATTAGTGCCCATCAGTGCAGCCTCTTCAGTGCTTCCTCATTAGTGCCCATCAGTGTAGCTTATCACTTCCCTCTTATTAGTGCCCATCAGTGTAGCTTATCAGTGCAGCCTCTTCAGTGCTTCCATCAGTATAGCTTATCAGTGCTTCCGCATTAGTGCCCATCGGTGTAGCTTATCAGTGCAGCCTCTTCAGTGCTTCCTCATTATTGCCCATCGGTGTAGCTTATCAGTGCAGCCTCTTCAGTGCAGCCTCTTCAGTGCAGCCTCATTAGTGCCTATCTGTGTAGCTTATCAGTGCAGCCTCTTCAGTGCTTTCTTATTAGTGCCCATCGGTGTAGTTTATCAGTGCAGCCTCTTCAGTGCATCCTCATTAGTGCCCATCGGTGTAGTTTATCAGTGCAGCCTCTTCAGTGCTTCCTCATTAGTGCCTATCTGTGTAGCTTATCAGTGCAGCCTCTTCAGTGCTTTCTTATTAGTGCCCATCGGTGTAGTTTATCAGTGCAGCCTCTTCAGTGCTTCCTTATTAGTGCCCATCGGTGTAGTTTATCAGTGCAGCCTCTTCAGTGCTTCCTCATTAGTGCCCATCGGTGTAGCTTATCCGTGCAGCCTCTTCAGTGCTTCCTCATTTTTGCCCAACAGTGCTCTATTATCAGTGCTGCCTCTTCAGTGCTTTCTTATTAGTGCCCATCGGTGCAGTTTTAGTGTATCTAAGAAAACCTTTTTTTTCTCAAAATTGTTGGTCTTTTTTTAGTTTGTTTAGCAAACACATTAAAGAACCCCGTGGTGATGAAACGCCTCCTGCCCACCGTTTAAGGAAATGATGGATGGGAGGGAGCTCCCTTGTTGTGGGAGGATGTCATATGACATCCTCCCACTCTAGCTGCACATGCACACCCCCGGGGGTGCGTTGTGTCCCTAGGACACAGTGAATCACCAGTCGTAAAGAGCTGATGACATAGGCTCTACCATGTGATCAGCTGTGTCCAATCACAGCTGATCACATGTAAACAAGAAATGCTGCTTATTGGCAGTCCTCTCCTCATGCTGACAGTAGGTGAGGAGAGCAAAGCCGGTAAGTGGCATTCCTCAGAGGGGGCATCTACACTGATCATCAGTGCATTGATTATTAGTGCAGCCCCATCCATGCTGTCTTTCTGTGCCCATCATTGCTGCTGATCAGTCCACATATCAATGCCCATCATTGTTGCCTTTCAGTGCCCATTAGTGATGCCTGTCAATGCTCATCTGTGCCGCCTATCAGTGCCCATCATTGAAGCCTGTCAGTACCCATCAGTGCCATCTATCTGTGCCGCCTATCAGTGCAGCCTCATCAGCACACATCAGTATAGGAGAAAAATGTCTTTTCCCCAAAATTTTCATTTTTTTGCGCTTGTTTAGCAAAAATTAAACCCCCAAAGTGGTGATTAAATACCACCAAAAGTAAGCTCTGTCTCCAAAAAATGCTACAAATTTTGGTTGTGTACAGTGTTGCATGACCGTGCAATTGTCAGTGCGATGACGCTGAAAGCTAACAATTGGCCTGATCAGGAAGGGGGTGAAAGTGCCCGGTAGGCAAGTGAATAAATACCACCAACAGAAAGATCTGTCTCAAAAAATGATGAAAATAACATATGGGTACAGTATTGCATGACCGCACAACTGTCATTCAACGCACAGCAGCGCGGAAAGCTGTCCTGGGCAGGAAGGGGGTGAAAGTGCCCGGCGTTGAAGGGGTTGGAATCCCCTGCTCCATGGACATTAGAAGAATCCGCAATCCGCCTCCATTACTAGAACACTCAGCTGGTAACAGCAGCCTTGCCACGTGACAGCCGGCGTCCCAAGCCCTCTGCGTGTAAATCGAGTGCCTGTGTCACGGATCGGGGTGAGGGCGGAAGACTGGCAGCGGGGCCTGGAAATTTGTGAGGACGTCATGCTTAGGCTTCAGGGCAAACAATCAAAAGCCTATTTACCGTAGGTGCTTAAGCCGGGTGAGTGTGCTACTGGCCCTGGGAAGTGTTTGCCGGTGATAGAGAGCGGAGGATGGGCGGGAAGAACAAGCAGAGGACGAAGGGCAATGTTCGGGTGAGTACCGGGATCGATTAGTACGCCTGGATTGTGTATTCTGTCAGGCATGGTGGGCAACTGAGCTGTCCCTGTGTGGTGATAGGCAGGACGGACTGGGGGGCACACCAACCAGAGGAGTGTACAATGTGGGAGACTTGGGGGGGATCCATAGAGAAACCATGGCAGGAAGAGCATTTCCTAAAATAGAACAAAAGGCAAAACTTTTTATGTTCATTTTGGATGCGGTAAGGGAGGGTTATACCCCCCCTCAGGTTTGTTTGCCATCTGTGTACAATTTGGGAGGTTTCCCTTCACTTCCTGTTCTAGAGCCAAAACAGGAAGTGGGAGGAAATCCCAACAATGTAATCCCTGCTTGTCTCTCACTAGTGTCCCCATTGTTAGGTTTTCCCTCAGTTCCTCTTCTGGTGACCACCCAAATAATTTTGTTTCATTTTCAGTGATGGCAGTCACCAGGACGGATAAAGAGGCTGAATCCGGGGCACAGGCAGCAATAAAAAAAACTGTCAGGGGTTCTAATGCCTCTCTTCACTTCTCTTTATGTCTATGTTAAACTTTTCTCAGTTCAGTAGAGGGATTGGAACCCCTGTCAGGTTTTTTTTTTTTTTTTTTAATATTGCAGCCTGTGCTGTGTTAAGGAGAATTACCCTTTCTCTGTTTTTCCTTTTATCACCAAAAGAGAAAATTCCAAATTTTGGGTGTTGCCAGAACAAGAAGAGAGGGGAAACTAGTTCTGGTGACACCCCAGAATGCCCTCACTTTGGGGGGATTTCATTTCACTTCCTGTTTTGCCTATGGGGCAGGAAGTTGAAGATAATCTCTCCAACGGAAGACAGATGGCAAAAAAAAAAGAACACTACATGGACTTCTAACCCTCCTTTTAGGGCTAATTTACACAAGTGGTTTGCTGTCCCTCTGAAAGCACTCTGCAGTGGATCACTTTTCAGAGGGTAGTTGACAGGCAGCTAGGAGGTGATATGTCTCCTCTTCACCACTTTTTTTTTCACTGCGCCACACCATGTGCATTGCATGTGATCAAATGGCAGTTGCATTGCAGCCTCATTCACTTGGTTCTGTCCACTGTGAATGCAATAGGTGTTTTAATTTTGCCTTGGCCTGTGTACAACCCCCCTCGGGGCTCTGTGCTAGAATAAAGCTGGCCATACATTATACAATTTTCTGCCCAATTTCCTTTAGATTTACCTTCAGCTATATGGTGCAAGGGCCTGCCTAATTGGATACAATTGAAAGTGTTGCTTAGGTTTGACCTCGTATTATATGGCATTTTGGTAAATCTAAAGCAAAATTCTAAAGAAAATTGTATACTATACAGGTGAAACTCGAAAAATTAGAATACCGTGCAAAAGTTCATTTATTTCAGTAATGCAACTTAAAAGGTAAAACTATATTTATTTATTTTATTTATTTCAGGTACTTATATAGTGCCGTCAATTTACGCAGCGCTTTACATATATATTGTACATTCACATCAGTCCCTAACCCTCAAGGGGTGTACAATCTAAGGTCCCTAACTCACATTCATACATCCACATACTAGGGACAATTTAGACAGGAGCCAATGCACCTACCTACTTTTTCTCCTGGTATGTTTTTTGCTGCCTTCCCTGGGAAACTTGCTGCTGTGGACACAGAGGTGA